TTTGAAACTCAAAACTTTTTTTTTTCAGTTTCAAAAATGTTTTATTTTGAACAAAACTTAAGACACCAATTTGGCTCCATATATTCTTTTTTAAACACGAGCTGCTCCCAGATCAGCAGCAAAACCTGCATCATTGACCAAATGCTTTTAAAACTTTTTTTTAGATTTGAGGCTAAAATGTGTTCAAGAAGCTAAAACTTTCAAACAGTGATGAGAAGCAGCTGCTAAAAGAAACGATCCATGTTGGATCTTCTGGATTCATGACGTGTCAAAAAAGTCATCATTCAAAGAGGACAAGTCATTTGTCTTTAGGCTGTCTCTGATGATTTAAACAGTGCTGCGTTTAAAAGAYGTTTTTCTTGTTGTCTTGTTTCTGCAGAGCTCAGACTCTGATGACAAGTCTGTGGTCAGCTTTCAGATTTCACTCAAATAACTCCAGTAAATTACAGAAACACATGTCGCTTTGGACAGCCATCCAGAGCAGCAGAACCAGAACCAACATTATATTTACATCCATCAGGAGCCGACAGCTGGCGTTTGTTCTTGAATAAAAACATGTTTGTAGGAGAATCCTCCTGTTTTTGTCAGATGAGAACTGGTTGATTCCTGCAGCCTGGTGGCYGGCTCATTTAAACCAGCAAAAGAGAAAACAGCCGAAGGAGCTGCAGCTTCTCTGAAGCGTGATTTGGAGCCGGACGCCATGTGTTCACAGCACGCTCTCCGACTTTCACCGCTGTTTCATTTGAGAGCCAGATGGTCTGAAGCGCTCAGACTTTCTGCACAGGAACACTGACGAACACTGACGTAGGATAAAAATATCCTTTCTTTTTTCTCCAAATGAATCCAATAATTATATTTTATATTTACCAGCATATGGCTGTGATTTAATGTGGTTGAAGGAGGCTGGATGAATCCACCCAGAACGCCCRATTTTATTACCAACACTCTAACACGTAACATGACTGATGTGGAAAATATGAGTCCAAAACAGGCGTCATCATCTGGAAATAAATATTAATGCTAAAATAAAAAATCTTTTGGACCTAACTGGTATCACTTCACCTCAAACTGAAGCGAACCCAAGCTTCAAACCTCAAACGGCTAAAACAAAAAAAAAGAAGCTTTATCTGAGCTCCAGATGTTYGGGTGTCTTTTCATCTGAAACAAGGTTCAGACTTTTATGAAACGGACGTCTTGAAAAGGGTTTCAGCCACRATGAAAGACGCATTCCTCGAAGGATTTCAATAAAGAACTTGTTAAAACTCAGAGTGTGTTTGTAAATGACTGTCTGCTACCACCACTACAAGTTACAGTGCAGGGCGGCCATCTTGAATCGAGCTGGCTTTAAAAGTTAATGAGTCRTAGACGGAGAATCAAAAGATACATTCTCTGAGTCTTAGTGACATCCGTCCAGCGTTTCATGAGATATTTTAACTTTTTGCTAGCCTTTTGCTACTTTAAGCTAGCCTTTTGCTACTTTTAGCTACTGTTTTGCTACTTTCTGCTAGCTTTTTGCTACTTTTCGATAGCCTTTTGCTCATTTTAGCTTCTAGTGAACCTTATTTTTGTTTTAAGGGAGACTTTTTCTACTTTTAACAGTTTGCTAGTTTTGTTAGCTTTATCTTTACCAACACAGTTTCAGCTTATTTGGGACATAWTGGCTGCTCTCAGTGTTTTAGTAGAAAATACAGATTATTACCTGAATTATTTGCAGATGATTTTAATTTATTCAGGTGTAAAAGCAGCTTAAACTGCAAGATTCATAAAAGACACAGCTTTAAATACTCTTACATGGACACCATCAGGGATTAAATCCTGCTGCTGGACACCATCAGGGATTAAATTCTGCTGCTGG